TCTCTCTAAGTAACTTTTCAGTGAGCAAAATTTCCAAGAAACTGTGGAATTAACACTGACCTTTCTAATAACAGAAAAAAATAAGCACTATAGACTGAAAAGAACTAATCAATGCTTACCATTAAACTTTTAAATTTTCTATTTTCTGCAATGTGAAAAAAGCCATCTCTTGTTAAAATCTTGATGTGCTTTGCTTCATTATTATACCTGTGGGCGATGAATAACTTATGAATATAAATGTGTTTTTAATCAGTAGAAATCAATAATTACCAGAGGGCATGCCCCAATAACACTATAGGAATTAATTCTGAAGACAAAATACATACCTATGCCAATACTCTGGTGACAGCTAATTAACAAAATATATGTACTAGATTGGTTAAAGACACAACCAATATCTGAGGTGAAGAGAAGGGTGGAGGAGGATTTAAGCTAATCTTTATCCCCAATTTGTTTAATAAATTCATTTTGAGAATGGAGAAAAATAAAAGAAAAGAAACTCTAGTAGCTTATACTCTTAAAATTTACTAGAAATAAATACACACATCAAATCACCAAAAATACAATATTATGAAAGAAATCTAATATGCCAATTAGCAGCTGATAACACTTATTACTGTTTTTCTAGCAGATATTTTCAAGTATTAATGAACTGTCTGGATAGATGCATTATTTCTGCTGCAATTAGAACCTTGGTTTTCAACTTCAGTGTTACACATGTCAGATGGTCGATGCAATTATGAAAACAGGAAATCTATTTCTGTAAAAGTACTTGTCCTACTTACTTAATGCTAATTGCATATTCTCCTGACTCTTTGGTCCTGTGCCTCACAAGGTAAGTACTATTTACCCTATTAATAAGTTCAGTCTCTGCCTGCAATCTTTCCATTGCTCCAGCATACCTGTAAGAGAATATGACACAGAAAATTTGGGTAATATACCTGAAAGAGAACAGAAGCTAAAAATAAGTATTTGTCAGGATTTTAACTTAGTGGCAAATCTAAGCTGCTTTTACTTCTTAACTAACTAATTACGTTGCTTCAAAAAACTAAGTAACATAGGGAAAAAAAAAAGAAATCCTTTAATAGGTCCAAACACAAATGCTCTACAAAGCCAACTTAACAGTAAAATGAACAGTCCTGATACACAGTGCATTCAGTAAATATTTAAAAAATAAACAAATGGAATGAAGAGAAGAATTAGTAGCTATTGAATTAGAAAGGAGCTCTGGTAGCACGGCGGTTAAAGCATTTGGCTGCCAACCAAAAGGCCTGTGGTTGAACCCACCAGCCACTTCACTGGAGAAAGATGAGGCAGTTCTCTTTCATAAATATTTATAGCCTTAAAAACCCTATGGGGCAGTTGTACTCTGTCTTATAGAGTTGCTATGTGTGGGAATGGACTGGATGGCAGTGGTTTGTTTAGGTTTGGGTTAGAGAGTTCTGGGGAGTTTAGGGATGAGTAGATTTATACGAAGGGATTACATTGCATAACACACACAAGTGCGCATGTGCAGACACACGGGCACTTCCCAAACTTTAATCTTGTCTAAGCACACTATGAAATGAAATGTCCTTTGAGCAGCTTTTTAATAAAATTACAGTAATAATTTAAATTATTTTAATTTTTT